CGTTTCTGAAAGGAAGTCTGATTTGTCACTGCGCAGTGAGGGAGTGAAGGAAGTGCCATCCCCAAATATGCCAGATTGGAATATTGACTATTTCGAGTTGAAAACATTGGAGAAATTATAGTTTCAGAAAGAGCAAGCCATAAAGATTCCTCGGGAAGGGGTACCCTCCCCGTACCAGGGTGAGAAAATAGCTCTTATCACCTGAGACTTGGAGTTAAAGGCTGCAGGGAACCCCAATAAACTTACCTAACAACATAACCCTTGCTCCTCCCATATATCTCGGAGTAGTTACTCCCCTAGAAAATTTACTGCCCTTAGCTAGATTTTCCGTGTCCTGCCATTTCTTCTCAAATTTATTGTTCTTTATCTAAAGAGGATAAAAGCATTTTGCTTTGCCTACCTCTTCAGAATTCATGCCTTTGTGAAGACCCCTGTGTACATGTAAAACTAATAAAATGTGTCTTCTTTTCTCTTGTTCATCTACCTGGTGTCAATTTGCTTTCTAGATCCAGCTGAAAAGCCCACTAAGGGCTCAAAAGGGGGTTGGAGGTGATCTCTGGCTCCCATACAATAGTCCTTTTTCCTCTGTGGTAACACTTCTTGGGCCATGAAAATGCTAATTCAATGGACCCAGAAGTGCTGGAAGTACTTGGCTTTCTGTGTTCATGCAAGAATGTGATCTGAGGAAGGGATTCCAGCCAGTTCCGCTAGGGTTGCCCATTAAGAAACCCAGTAAAGCTCCACCCTCTTTATCTCTGAGAGTAAACTTCCTGCTCTCTTTGTGGACTCTAGTCACATGACACAATCAAACATTAACTTAGTGCCTGGATTGGTTCCTGTGACATACAAGTAGGAGAGGGTGACCCTCTGGCAGGAGCAAAGGTGCCATGGTGGCGGGGTCCCAAGGCTGCCGCCCGCTCGTCCTGGGCCTGCTGCTGTATGCGCTCGGTCCCGCTGTGTCCCAGGCTGGGAAGGTGCTGTTCGTCCCCGTGGATGGCAGCCACTGGCTGAGCACTCTTGGGGTCATCCAGCAGCTGCAGCGGAGGGGACATGAAATAGTAGTCCTAGCTCCTGAGGCCTCGACGCACATCAAAGAAGGAGAATTTTACACCATGAAGAGGTACCCTGTCCCATTCCAAAGGGAGGACTTGGATGCAGCTTTTATTGATCTTGGGCATTACGTTTTTGAGAACGGTTCTTTCCTACAGCGTCTGGTCGAAACGTACAAGAGAGTAAAAGCTAACTCTGCTCTGCTTTTGTCTGGCTGTTCCCACCTACTGCACAACGAGGAGCTCATGGCCTCCCTGGCAGAAAGCAGCTTCGATGTCATGTTGACAGACCCTTTCCTTCCCTGTGGGCCCATCGTGGCCCAGTACCTGGCTCTGCCTACTGTATACTTCATGAATGCACTGCCGTGCAACCTGGACTTTGAGGCTACCCAGTGCCCCAACCCATTGTCCTACGTGCCCAAGCCCCTGTCCTATAACTCAGACCGCATGACCTTCCTGCAGCGGGTGAAGAACATGCTCATTGCCCTGACGGACAACTTTCTGTGCAGTGTGGTTTATTCTCCATATGCGGTACTTGCCTCGGAATTCCTTCAGAGAGACGTGACTGTCCAGGACCTTCTGAGCTCTGCATCTGTCTGGCTGTTGAGAAATGACTTTGTGAATAATTACCCCAGGCCCATCATGCCCAATATGGTTTTTATTGGTGGGATCAACTGCCTTCAGAAAAAACCACTATCCCAGGTGTGTATTTGAGGGGAAGCTTCACATGCCTATATTCTTACAAATATAGTACTTTGGATAGATTGCCTTGCCCCAGATATGTGCTGAAACAGCATGCTGAGATAGTTTACAACGTCTTCTTTTGTTAATGTCTAACTCAGAAGTCTTCTAGGCCTGAGTTCATCTGTCTCTGGCACTGTCTTCTATATTATTTCTTTGTATCCAAGAGTTTGGAAAAGGATGCTTTGGGCATTTTATTCTGCGTCCTCTGGTGGATAGTAATCAGTTAGAAGCAACAAGTGTTAAATGCCCTAAGCACAGCGCACTGAGTCTGGGGCATGTGGCAGAAAACTAAAATGTGTGGCATGTACCTTGCCCTGGATTGGGTCAGGCTTGCAAAATTCAAGACTGATGAAATAGTTCTTTGCCATCTATAGATCCTGGCAAGGAAAGTTGGCTTCGTGAACCTGGTTAAAGCTCCAGTTTCTAGTTATTCTAATAGGAAGGTAGATACTGCAGTCCCTTCTGTTCTAAGTGAATCACCAGACAATCAGGCTCTGACATTGGGCGGAAAGGTCACGAGTCTCATTCTCCGACATGCTAACATGTTAATTTTTCCCCTGTAGAATTCGAAGTATGAAAAAGTGGCATTCACACAGTTTTCAAAATCTCAGCAGAGATGACAGAGAGTAATAGGAGAGACTCCTCCTCCTGGAGGGTTAGGGAAGGACTCTCCAAGGAGGTGACATTTTAGTGGGCATTCATTCATTTATTCTTCACAGAATGGCTGAGGTCCTACTGGTAGTCCAGGCACTGCCCAGGTGCTGAGTCTGGCTCCTGCTAAAGGACTCTTATCTATAACCCTTGGAGAGCACTGGACTTTATTTCCAGTGTTCCTCCAATGTGATTCATATTTTAAATGATCATGTAATTGTCATGGCAAAGAGAAATTTTGGGCAGCAGAAAGAGCAACAAGTGAGAAATGAGGCAGCAGGTCGATGCTTGCATTCCACTGCCATGTGATCAGATTCTCCTTCTGTGGGGCTCTGAGTCCTCATAATGTGGAGACAGATGTGATGACCCTCCAAGATCTTCTGGCTCTAAGATGCTGACGGTCCGTGGCCTGCTGGACAAGTGTGTGTTTCATAGGGTCGTCTGGTTAAGAAAGAAGAAAGTGTTACTGAGTTTCTAAAAGCAAGATGAGAAAACCTGACAGTATAGAAAACCATTAATGATTCTCTTTCAGACAGAAGAAAAGCAACAGGTAAAGTATCATCAAACCAATGGGCACATCTCAGATCAAAGGAAAGAAATCTAGTCAGCATGTCCAAATTAGAAAGGCATTAATGAGAAATTTTTTTGGCATCACTATGAAGGATCTGAAAGAAAACAATTGTGTTTCACATTCGTTTTGAAATTTAAACCTTTGGAGAGATGCACACACGATGGAACTTCCAATAGAAACAGAAGGAGTTGTCTATGGATCTACATGGACTATCCTATTCTCAACACTCTTGGAAAAAGTCCTGCACTTCAAGAATAAAGATAGAAGCTTTATTCCATAAAGAAAGTCCATGGAGACAGCATGACCGGGCATTGGACATATCTTTGGTGTGTCTGAAAGAAACAAGATGGCAGAACAACATTAAGAGAAAAGGAATGAAACTCAAGAATTCCAAGATGTCACTCCCCTATCAGGGCGAGAGACCATCCCTGGGGATAGCAGTGATTCATCGATGATAGCTGCACGTTGGGCATCAGAAAAATAGCCAAAGCGAAGATCGGTGAGGACAGAGACTTCGAGATGGCGGGGACAAGGAAGCTTGGGAAGTGTGTGTAGGGGACTTGGAAGGCATGATGATGAAGTGACAGCTGCCCAGTGTGTTGTCTAAGTGCTAACTGAGGATTCTGAAACAACGATAGACATTCGGAAAGGGAAAATCTGAAAAAAGCCTGAACTAAAAATATTGAAGTCTCAGTAAAACTTAGGAGCTATTTTAAAGGCTTCATCTTGGGTGGGGAAGTCTCACCAGAGTGGGGCAATGCTCTCTCTCAGGGGGGTCCTCCCCTTTTTGGAAGGGGACGAATGGTGGGGAGCCAAGGGTTATTTCCAGTCAACACCTTGCTTCAGTCTTTGGCCATTCTAGGGGCTGCGAAGTTGGGGTGAGGTTTAGGGAAAGTTTTGCTGAATAGGGGATGAACCACACCTTTACCGAGTCCTGTAAGAGCTGGCCCAGAGTTAAGCGTTGGCCATAATAACACCATCTCTGTAGTTCGCCCTTGGGAGATCCGTAGATGAACTTTCATGCCATTTCAATATTAGTGATATTCTGCTATTTAACTTTGGATTTTTGTGGACCTCTGGGTTCAATTTTGTGTGACTCACGTCCTGCTGGTTGCTGAGTGTGTGTGGGAGGGTGTGCAAGGAGGGCAAATTAGACTCTGCCCTTTCCAGACGGAGTTGCATGTAAGAATGGGTTTCCTGAAGGAGCGAAGGTCCTGGGAGGTTTAGGTGAGGCATTTACCATCACTCTGTAGAGAGAGCTTTAAAAGCACTTGGAAATGAGCCATCTCTCCCCAGAAAAGAGGGAGAGGGAAAGGGAATGTGGTGTGGATCCTAGGGAGGAAGGACTTCAGAAAAGCCGTCCTCTGGATGTTCTTGCCACAAACCCAAAGGCAGCGTGGGGATGGAGAGGACGATTCTGGCTCCCTGACCTTGCAGACTAGCTCAAGACATGGCTGCTGTGAGCCAGGGGACTCGAGAGGGCCTGGGGCCGGCGAGGCTGGGTGGGAGAGTGGGCTGGCCTCAGGGGAAGGCTGGTCAGTGCTTGGGCTTTCCTGGTCATGTCCCGAATCGAGCTTGGCGGAAGTCCTGCTGTTCAAATCGTGTATGCTGAGCCCTGTCAGAAGTCTCCTCTATCTCACATCTAGGTGATCAATGTCCTGGTTTGCCCAGAACTGTTTAGGTTTTAGCACTGAAAGTCCCATGTCCCAGGGAACACCTCAGTTCGGGGCAAACACTACTACATCACACACTCGGTAACCTTTGGAGACATATAAGACCATTTGGGAGACTGTAGGGGGGTTGTTAAGTAGATCACTAATGATCTACAGTTGGGAAAGAATCGGCATATTTTTCCCCTGCTGCTTCCTCTAAGTGGAGCTACCACTGTGTGTGCATATATGTGCGCATACGCATGAGCCGTCTGTGCTTTCCTTCTGGAAAATCAGCACATTATCTTGATTCTGCATCTCAAGGAAGAAGAGAAAAGCAGGCAAGCAAGAGGCCTTCCTCCTTTGAAGGGAGCACGGGAGGGAGAAATACTAAAAAACTCACACATTGATAATTCTTTGCTGTATTTCACACATACACACCTTTAATCCCATGAAGAGGAAGATATCCAATTTGTAGTTTAATGTATATAGTCACCAAAGAACATGAGGAAAAAACTAACTGGAAATTTCTCTTCTGGCTCTAGGAATTTGAAGCTTACGTAAATGCTTCCGGAGAACATGGAATTGTGGTTTTCTCTTTGGGATCAATGGTCTCAGATATTCCAGAGAAGAAAGCTATGGACATTGCTGATGCTTTGGGCAAAATACCCCAGACAGTAAGAAGATTCTATCCTACTCCTTCATTTCTGTCTTCACAGGAGTTCCAACCCCACACTTCCAGTATCTAGATTAATTCAATTTCTTGTAACTGGAAATTTGGGATTCTCTCTGTAACTTCCCAGCTATTAATCCAAAGATCTTTCTTTTGCAATTTAACTCTCAAGTATTCTGTTAAACCATACTCCACCTCACTGGGAAATCTCATTTTCTCTGAGAGACTCAAAAGTGTATTAAGGAGAATTCATTTAAAAGTAAAATAATCAGGTATTGTCTCTCCTATTAAATAGGAATATTTCTCCAAAAAGCTGTTGGTCAGGGCACTGGATTTGCTTCTTATATTTCTGCTTTTATAGTTTTGCATCCACTGATTTTATTAAATAAACTTTCCCTCGAAGTGCAGTAAAGTGAAAAAATCATAAGTCCACAGCTTGATGAATTTCCACAATTTCACACAGTGAGTATACTCTGGTAGCCAAGCCTCTGAAACCAGGCACAAAATGTTGCCAGCCCCCAGAAGCCTTCTTAGCTACTGACCCTCCCAGTCTTGTAAAGGTTATGTTTATTCAGAGGACTCACTTTCTAGCTTGTACAGTGGATTTTTAAAAATAATATTATGTTCTTTCTTTAAACTCTGTTCTTTTTGGCCCTGCAAGGTCCTGTGGCGGTACACTGGAACTCGACCATCGAATCTTGCAAACAATACAATACTTGTCAAGTGGTTACCCCAAAATGATCTGCTTGGTATGTTGGGAAGATTTGACGATTAGGTCAAACCAGGGTTACCTTAAGAAAATGGCTTAGGCACAACTGTTGTCAAGGACTGTTTAGTTTGGAAATATTATGGCCAACATATCCTACATTGCTTTTTATCTAGTAGGTATCCCAAACACAGTTTCTTCTACAGACTTGTGCAAGGGCCAATGTGGATGACACTTAGTCCTTAGTGTACTTTCAGAACATGGACACTGTCACACTGAAACCCAGAGACCTGACTGCTGGCATCCTCCCTATTTTGCATCTCAGGTCACCCGAAGACTCGTGCCTTTATCACCCATTCTGGCTCCCACGGTATTTATGAAGGAATATGCAATGGTGTGCCCATGGTGATGATGCCCTTGTTTGGCGATCAGATGGACAATGCGAAGCGCATGGAGACTAGGGGAGCTGGAGTGACCCTAAATGTTCTTGAAATGACTTCTGCAGATTTAGAAAATGCCCTAAAGACAGTCATCAATGACAAAAGGTAAGAGAGAATGTATGGAAGACTCCGTCCTGTACTTTGGCCATAGCATTCATGAAAAATACTCAAATATGAAAACAAATACCTAAGAATCTGGGCTTAATACATAAGATGATTTGGGGATTATTATTATTATTCAGTTTATAAAAGGATCCTTTAGTTCCTGTATAATTTATCACAGAATTTATTTAAAATTTTATTTCCCTGGGAGATTTAAAACTCCAACTTATAAAAAAAGTCACCAAAATAGACGTCTGATCTGTAAGTTTCTGCATAGAAAGAAATATTCCATTTTAAGAAGCATGGTGTCCACAAGACAGTACAGCTTTTCCCAACACTGGAACCTGTGAGAAGTTTTGTCCATGGGCTTTATAAATGGGGGAGTCATGAGATATCACAAAGGCTTAGAATAAAAGCAAAGGCAAATTTGTCCAAATGTGGCCCCAAAGCTTTCAGAAGGCGAAAGTCATCAGATCAAATGATCTGTGCATGAAATTTAGTGCATTACTGTCACGCTTACTGGTAATAGGTTGATCCAAACCTTATGGGAAGAAGTGATGGCCAGTGATGGATTTCACCCAACGATAGCATGTGCACGCGTGCATGTGCACTTATCGTGTGTGCACACGCGCATATGCATGTGTGTGGAAGAAGAGGAGGACACATACATGTGCATGCATGTACTCGTGTGTGCGTGTGTGTCTATGAGAGTCTCAGGCACCCTCTCCCATGGTTACTTCCTTTAGAAAGAGGCACTGGTTGGGAGGACAGATGGGAAAAGCTGGAGTGTGCTGGGATGGGGCAAGGGAAACGGGGCAAACTGATGCTTGACTTCCAGCCTTTGAGGGGTTACTCTGTGTGCGCTGCCACTGGATAAAAGAGAAAAGTCCACATGACCTCAGAGCCAGGTGCCCAGAGTGCTGGGTGGTGTGGGTCCCATCCGTCCCTCCAGCGTCTGCTCTGACAGCCTCAGAGTCACGCCGTGCTGCTCACACATCAAGACCATTAGGACCCAGCTTCTCTCCACGTGCTGACAAAGCTCCTTCTTGAGGTTCACATTATTAATGTAATTCTGCTCCTGTGTTCAGCGGTATAGATAACTGCTTGTAACATAAATAATGACTTGGTAGCAGTTCTTTTGTACGTCATTTTTTAAAAACACACATCAATCAGCTGAAGTTGCTAGCTAACTTCATCTATTCGTTTTCGAGCCATCTCTATCTCACTGTGGATCTCCATGTTTCCAGCACTCTAATCTGGAACCGTACCTCCACAAAATTGAGAGAAATGGGAAATTTTCAAACAGCTGCTTATGCAGATGACCAGGCCATAATAGGTGCTCAATAAATATTGAATGAGTCACTGAAAGTTCCAAGAAAATCTATCTTAAGAAAAGATTTACATAAAAGGAAGATGTTTAACATGAGTTATGGCCAAATACTAATACTACGTTATAATAATGTTTCTAAACCACGTAACAGATATATTTAAGGACTGCAATGATCATTGTTGTGACTAGGAGTGTATTCTTTTTTTCCTTCTTCTCCCTTTTCTTTTCCTTCTCCTCCTCCATTGCCTTCTCCTCTTTCTCTTTCCCTTCCTCCTCCTCTTCCTCCTTCTAGTACATCCACACCAAGGGTTGAAGCAGCTAACCTTCTGTGGAGTTAGATGTTCTGATTCAACTGTGAGCACTGTCCAAAATAAACAGGAATCCATTCTGCATTAACAGGCTGCATAGACACAGCCTCATGCTAAGGCGGTTTGCTGTTTCGATGATTGAACTGAAAGTGTAGCACCACCTTGGGGTTGGCACTTTGCCGGATGTGATTGTTTATAACTGCAAATGGCAGACAATTCATAATTTCTGACATGAACTTTTCCTTTTTTGATTTTACTATAAAGGAAGTAAAATCTAATTTCCCACAAAAATATCACTAAAGAGAAAAGAGGAAAAGTAGGGAGCAAAGTTAAAATATTTGTAAAATTAAAATTTTGGCTTCAGGTCCTCCCTCCCTCCTCTCTCCCTTCCTTCTTTCCCTCTTTTTTTTTCGAGATAAAGAACATTTATTAAGAATGTGTGTGCATGTGTGTGTTTTTTCTCCGGTTACAATAGAAATACGCTTCCTCTACCAAGTTTGGAAAACCTGTTGGCATTCCTAGCGGAAGCATAAAATGAGGATCGCTCATTACTACAGGAGTCCCAGACATAACACAACTGTCTTTGTCTTTAGCTACAAGGAGAACATCATGCGCCTCTCCAGCCTCCACAAGGACCGCCCCGTCGAGCCGCTGGACCTGGCCGTGTTCTGGGTGGAGTTCGTGATGAGGCACAAGGGGGCGCCACACCTGCGCCCCGCAGCCCACGACCTCACCTGGTACCAGTACCACTCCTTGGACGTGATAGGCTTCCTCCTGGCGGTGGTGCTGGCCGTGACCTTTGTCACCTTTAAATGTTGTGCCTATGGTTTCCGGAAGTGCTTTGGGAGAAAAGGGCACGTTAAGAAAGCCCACAAATCCAAGGTGCATTGAGATGTGGGTGGGAAAAAAGGTGAAATTTCGATCCATTCCCTGGTCAATTCCAAACTTGAAAACAGAATCAGTGTTAAATTCATTTTATTAAGGAAATCCTTTGCATAAATTAGTCACTGCCAGAGTGGTTTTGAAATCTAATTGCTAGTCAGCAAAGATGTTTGAATAGGTATCCCACCCCCTGGGTGTCCTCAATCTGGTTTACATTTGTCAACGTTCAAATGAGTTGCAGAGTGTGGGCACCTTGTGTGGCTTTTCTTGCTCAGAAATGTGGCCTGTTGGGGAGCAGGGTTCAAAGGTGTTTCCACGGCTGCCCCCACCTGGGGTGGCGGTTTTAACCTCATCATCTGACTCGTGATTGGTCCCTTCACGGATAATGATCGGTCCTCATTTATGATCGAACTTCATAGACGTCAATCTGTGTGTTTAAAGCAGGAAGTTTTGTATCTTTAGGGCATAGTTGAATGAAGGGCTTAGAGTGCACTGAGGACAGTGTATGATTTCTTACTTTGGGGGAAAAGAATGATGTTATAAAATTGCCGGGTGGTGTATTTGAGAGGATAATCTTGCTTGTGTCAAACGGATCTAAACTTGATAAAAACTCTAGTATAACGCCGGACAAGTATATTTTCTCTGATGGTTTTTCACAATTAAAATATGTTAATAAATTAATATAAATTATTTTTTAGGTGTTTTCTCTTTATTGATGTTACATTTATTTATTGTTATATTTCATTTTCTAATTACGAAAGTAATGCATGATTATGACAGACAATTTGAAAAACATAGAGTGCATGTGCACACATGCACATAGGAGAAAATAAAAACTGCCAGGAATCTTACATGGTCCAGAAATAACCACTGCTGCTATTTTGACAAATACATATGCTCATGAAATATTGCACATATACCAAATATACCCCTAGTTTCTAACATTCTTTCTTCACGTCCCTCTATAGGAATGTTCCCCCAGTCTTTTTGTATAATATTTAATCCATTTTTAGTGGCCTAGGAGTATTGTATTGCCTTGATATACCAGGATTTATTTAAGCACAACTTTGGAGTGGATTCAACTTTAATTATTTATTTTTATTTAAAAACGTCCTCCTTGAACATCCTAGTAGCTATTTGCACATATTCATGATTATTTCTGTGGGAAAGTGCTTTACCACAGATTGCTGGTTGTCACAGGCTGGGCTTCCCTGAGGTGGGGATTCAAGTTAGGGCCAGGAGTTTATCTGGAAAGTAAAGGAAACACCGACAGGGGTATGGTGGAGTGAGAAGGGCCGATGGCTTCCGAGAGCCGGCTGTCTTGGGGGCAACTGGAGCTTCATTCTACTGGGTAACTCTGGAGCCAGCGGAGAAAACACACGCCAGACTGATCCCACCTGAGAAGCAAGGCTGTTGGGTATTCGAGTGCTGGCCCCGGTCAGTGATTGGCTGGACCTGCTTCCAGGTGGTATGAATTTGCCTGCGCTTCCCGCTGGCCACAAAGGGGACTTTAAAAGTCAGAGAGAGGCTGCAGGTAAGAACTGCAGATGTGGTGTTTGAGGGTGAGCCCTTGTCACAGAAGAGGTGCACAGGGGATCTGGGTGGGGCACTGCCCACATTGCTACCCTGGACAAATGGCTTGAGATAGTCCCGCACTGCGTCCAGACAGTTGCTGTCAATGTGTGGGCGAGCCAGGTTCCCACACCCTCGTTAGTGCAAAGAACTGTCTTGGAAAAGAAAGTCTATCAGTGTGATAGGTGAAAAGTGGGATCTTTGTTTAAATATGCTTCTATTATTATTAGAGGTTGAATTTTTTTCAAGCATTTGAGCCATTTCTGTTTCTTTTTTGGAGAATATCCTTTGCCTGTTTTCCTACCGGAGTTTATTACCCTGAGGATTTAAGAATGCTTACTGCGTTAATCAGAATATCCTTTTTGTCATGTACTGTATTTTCTCCACTTGTTTTTTTTGCCTTTGGTTTTTTTGTTGTGTTTTATTTTGTTTTTTGCTTTGTGTTACAAACAGAGGTTTTAAATTTGTAGGCTTCAAATCGGAGCTGGGTCGCACAGAGAGTGAGGGTTTCAGCTGTCTCCCGACCTCAGTCCCATTTCCTCCTTCCCCAGGAGGAACATGATATGTTCACAGAATTTCCCGCCCCACATCTTTGAGGCTGTGCAGTGATCCCTAAACCACGTCTGCCCTTCTTCAAGGCCCTTCGTGGTCCACCCAGGGACCATCACCCAGCCTCACTGCCAATGGCTCCTGGACACGCCAAAGTCTTTCAGGCAACCCCCTTAAGCTTCTGTGACCTCCCGCCAGCTCATGCTCCTTTCTCCTTTTGTGCCTATAGCACCTGGGCCCTCCTGTTTACAAGTAAGAAAACCCAACTCGAGATAACTTAAGAAAAAAAAGGGTACTTTTGTAAGGAGATAGACTACCTAATAACGTGAGGCTTACAGCCAAGACTGCACACAGTGGAGCCTCTCCTTCCCCTTCCTGTTTCTGCTTGCTCTGGGCGCCAGCTTTACTCTTCCCTCTCCTCAGAGCCTTTGATTTTTTTGACAGAGTCTTGCTCTGTGTCCCAGGCTAGAGTGCCTTGGCGTCAGACTAGCTCACAGCAACCTCACACTCCTGGGCTCAAGCAATCTTTCTGCCTCAGCCTCCCAAGTAGCTGGGACTACAGGCATGAGCCACCACGCCTGGCTAATTTTTTCTATATAGATTTTTAGTTGTCTGGCTAATTTCTTTCCATTTTTGGTAGAGATGGGGTCTCGCTCTCGCTCAGGCTGGTCTCGAACTCCTGACGTGGAGCGATCCTCTCCAGCCTCAGCCTCCCACAGTGCTAGGATTACAGGCGTGAGCTACCGCACCTGCCCCTCCTCAGAGCCTTTTATGCTTTTCAGTCCCCAGACCCCTGCAGCCCTAGATCTCAAGATCCCACAAGAGACTGACTGGATTCTCTCTTGCCCAGAATTCCAAGTTCCTGCAAGTAAAAATCTGATTGGTATAACTGGATCAGATGTCCACTTCTTGTCCAATCAGGAATGTTGAGGGAGGGATTGCAGCATGAAAACATGGCTCCCAGTATCTCATTACTGTGGCCCCATGGATGAGGGAAGTGGAAGCCTTGGGAGCTGGGCAGAATCCCCAAAATGCATCCACTCTGTAGAGGCTGCCTCTGGGTCAGTTTCTGTACATTATTTCCATTTCCCCCACATTCTGCCTTGGCCCTTTCATGTCTTTAAGTTCACAGGATTTTACAAATACAGTGTTTTCTTATTTCCTGGTTAGTTCTCATAGAAGCAAAGGTGGGAAACTTAAGAGGGTGACGGCACCTAAGAGAGGCAGATTTTGTGAATGGATTGTAGGGAGTACAATATTATTGTCATAATCAGAAAGAAAAGTATTTTCAATTCTGAAATCCAAGAAGAACCCACTTCTTTCTTCTTGATTTCATTGTCTTAGTGTCCTCTCTAGACAATGTGTTCAGGGGCATCTTACTTTTTGCCATGGCTTACACTCTCACCTGTGAGTAGTAAAAAAACAGCCCCTATTTCTACCCCTCCTGATAGCCACATCCTTCGCAATGTGACTTTGCAGCTCTTTTCATCAAAGGGACGCATCTATTTTCCTGGCCCGTAAGTCAGGGTTGGCCTGTGATCTGCTGTGGCAGATAGAATGTGGCAGCTGATGGGTGCTAATTTCGAGTCTCAGTCTTGAGGCCTTCATGTTTCCACTTGCTCTCTTGGAACCCTGCCCAGGTGCTAGGAGAACAGCTTGGGCTACCCCTTCTACGGGATGTCCCAATCGCCTACGTAACTTCAGCCAACAGCCAGCCCTCAGCCAACGCACCAGCTGACTGAGATGCATGGGTGGCCCCAGTTGTGCTTGGCTGGGCATGGCACACAGCAACAGAACCACCCAGCTGGCCCATAGTCAAGGGAGCAATAATAATTGGTTATTTTCAGTCATTAAGTTTTGTGGGAGTTTGTTACACAGCAGTTGCTAACTGACACATACACTTCTGGCTGTAAGTTCATGATCTTTCATGTGTTATTCTGAAGACCCTCAGAGGACAAAGATGTGTTGTACCCACCCTGTACCCACCACAACATGGAGAGCCATGCTTCACTGCACACACTTGGCATGCTGTCAGGACCTGTGGAATGGAATTGCAACCATGTCACTTGAGTACTCTTTGAAAGAGCAAAGAAGACCCCATGTACAGTGGAAGGAGGCAGTGCAGAGGGGTCTGTGAAAGAAGGGGCACATGATAACTGTCTCCTTGTTTCTATTTTATGTTAATCAATGTGCCTCCAAAGGGCAAAACTAGGAACAATGCAGGAATTTTATGGGGAAGAAATGTTCAGCATTATATAGAGAAAGCTCATTTTCTACCCATCTGAATTCCATGAAGTAGAAATGGGCTTCTCCTGAGGATAATGAGCTCCCTGGTATTAGAGGTGTCCGAGCAGAGGCTGAGAAACTCCCATTTGGCAGGATGAGCACATTTGAGTCAGAATTTTAACTAAGCAGTCTTGGACCTAGATGGCTCTGAGTTTTATTCTGTTGTCCTGTAATGCATAGAAAGGTTTCCCACAGGCCAATATTTCATTGTTCAACTATTGATCTGGACCATCACCATTAGCTATGAGTGACAGGAATGTGCTTTTGGACCTGCTTTTGGTTTAGGGAAGCAGAGTCCCTGCTCTCCTACCTGTCTTTGATGTTCATTATCTTCTAAGTATTTGGCTAGTGGAAATCCACTTCCCCATCCTGCAAGTGGTCCAATCCTTGAGAAGGAGGAGTCCTCTCCCCAGGACCTCTTTGTCATTTCCTCCTCTCCTCTCCAGCTGTCCTGATCACATCTAACCACTCTGGGCTCCTATGACTGCTTCCCCCTGGGACTTGGTTGTAAATCACCCTCTTTCTCTCCATTTCCCTTTCTTAAACTGGCCGCCATAAACCAGCATACACACATGGGTAACAGAAATGTTTAATGACAATATGATGTGGAGTTTTTACCCACATCTTGTGCACCCACCCTGTGCACTCCTCCAGGTCTTGTATGGACAAAGACTCAGGGAGGCAGTTGGGTCTCAAAGTTCCGAGGGTCTGGAGTCTAACGGTGATGGTTCTAATGAAACCCTCCCAACCACCAGGAGGCCCATTCCTCCTAAGGGATATGACTGCAGAGCCCAACCGCCTCCCTTTGACCACCGATCCTGCCATTCATATTTCCATTGATGTGTACTGGGCAAAGAACAAAGCTTTTTGTTGTGGTTTATTTTTTTTTCATCCAGAAGAGGACCTTGAGGAAAGGTCAGTGTTTAGGTCCCAGAGTGGATCTTCAGATGATTCCCAGGAGGGAAAGGGCACAGGATGCCGAAGGGCCTGGGGTGGACTTTGAGGATCGAGGAACTTAGGACAGGAGGAGAAAGGATCTGAGAGCCTTTATTCTGCCATCTTGACATCTACAGTGGTGTTTGTCAGCCCTTAAAAACCTGTTGACACTGAGAAAGCCCCCGGACAGGAACGATGAGAGCTGCTGATATGGATTTCTCATTAGTCATTAATTTTCAGTGTCTAGACAAGAGGGAGGGAGGAAGTGCCTTTTTAACCATATGTATTAGTTATCTATGGCTGTGTAACAAATTATCACAAACTTAGTGGCTTAAAAGAACACCCATTTATTTTCTCAGTTTCTGTGGGTTGAGAGTCTGGGCATGGTCCTGTGTTCAGGGTCTCAGAGGCTACGGTCACGGTGTTGGCCAGGCTGCTTTCCTTTCCGGAGTTGAGGCTCCTCTTCCAAGCTCATGTGGTTGTTGGAAGAATTCAGCTCCTTATGGCTATAGGACTGGGGTCCTCAGGTCCTTGTCACACGGCCCCCTAGCCCCCTCCATAGGCAGTTTACGTCATGGCTGTTTACTTTTCAAGGTCAGCAGGAGGAAGTTTCCCTCCAGTCTGCTAAGACAGAGTCTCATATAGCGTAACGTGATCACGGGAGTGACTTCCCATCATCTTTGCCATATGACATAACCTGCTCAAGGGGGGACCTCCCGTCACCTTTGCCGTATTCTATTGGTTAGAAGGAAGTCACAGGTTTCTTGTACACTCAAGGGGAGGTGGGGGGTTTGTACAAGGGTGTTGTCATAGGGTGTGTTGCCGACTAAGTATTTTACAAATCTCATCCGTCTCAAGAGAGCTTGAGGAAGAGATGGCAGAAATGATGGCAGAAGCAGCAGTAGACTCGAATGAGGACGTGTTGGAGGAAACGGAGGATCTGGGTCCTTTTGAGTCCGATGACGGTGGTAAGGAAGTGACCTGCATCCTTGCATCCCTGCCCCATCTCGGCCACTAGCTCCTTGAATGCAGTCCCAGCCTAGGTCTCAGTTTCTCCATCTGCACAGTGGATGTGATGTCACGGGTAAAGCTAGAGGTGTGGAGGTGTAGGAAAGGCCAGGGGCACATGGGACACCCCCCGTAGTGGTCATTTCCACATTGCACCTGGGCCATCTTTGTTTCAGGTACCTTCCAACAGGTCACGAATCTCCTGGACATCATTGACAGTGAGTCAGCAAAGACGGACATGGCCGGGGCAAGTCTGGACATGCGGAAGACCCTGGCCTCAGTGATAATCACGGAGAAGGCCACCACCGAGCCCTTAGCAGTGATGAATGCTCTCATCCGCTGCCTGCAGGTGCCGGAGGTAGGGCTACCTCACCCTCAGTGCCCTCCTCGGGGCTCAGTCACCTTCGACTGCCTGTGTACCCATCCACTACTCAGCACACACTGACTGTCACAGACATGGTGCTAGGTGCTGGGACACAGAGATGGGCAAGGCTGTGAGGTGCTTACTGCTTGAGGACCATTAGGGCCTGAGCCTTTCATAATTTTTAAAAGCTCTTGGATTCTGACACAGTGAGTTTGGGAGCCATTGTCCTAGAGCACATGAGCTGAGTTACAATGATGTTGAACCAGGTGGGCACGGGAGAGTAATGACACACCATGCACAGGTGCAGGGGCGTCTGGCTAGCGGGCGGTGGGGGGCATTTATCTGGGGTAGGGGCTGGGACAAAGGATGTTGGAGGGAGTGATGCAAAGTGCAACCAGCGAACATGGTGGGCGTATATGACAGAATTTAGGCCAGAGTATCAGGATGCCCTGGAGGGCTTGTTAAAACGCAGATTTAAACTCCCCAAGAGTTTCTGATTCAGTAGGTCTGGGTGGGGCCTGGGAATCAGCGTTTCTAACGAGTTCCTGGGTGATGCTGATGCTGTAGGTCTGAAGACCATGCTTTGAGAACTGCTGGATTCTAGACTACATTTAGCCTTGGGGGTGGGTAGCAAAGGATTTCTGTAACCAGGGAAAGTTTCTATATATAGAAAGCTTTATTATTTTTTTGTTTGATTTTGATTTGGATTTTTTCCTTTTCTTTTTAGTTGACACATAATAATTGTACATATTTATGGATACAGAGGGATATTTCAATACAGGCATACAATATATAATGATCAAATCAGACAAATTAGCATATCCATCACTGCAAAGATTTATCATTTCTTTGTGTTGGAAACATTTAAAATCCTCTCTTCTAGCTTTTGGAAAATACACAATATATTGTTGTCAACTATATTCACCCTGCAGTGTAGAGCACCAGAACGTATTCCTTCTATCTAGCTGTAATTTTCTGTCTCCCTATCCTCCCCTCCCCGCTACCCTTCCCAGACCCTAATAACCATAATTCTATTCTCTACTTCTATGAGCTCACCTTTTCTTTTAGCTCACACATATGAGGGAGAACATGCAGTGTTTATCCATCTGTGCCTGACTTATTTAACTTAACACAATGTCCTCCACCCTCATTTATGTTGTGTGAATAACAGGATTTCGTTCTTCTTTGTGGCTGAATGTTATTCCACCGTGTATATATATACATCACATTTTCTTTACGCATTCATGTGTTGATGGACATTTAGGTTGATTTCATGTCTGGGCCATAGTGAATAGGTATGCAATAAACATGGGAGTATATATATATCTGTTTGATATACTGATTTTCCTTTCTTTGGATAAATACCCAGCAGTGGGATAGTGGACTCACATGGTAGTTCTATTTTTATATTTTTGAGAAACCTCCATACTGTTTTCCATAGTGACTATACTAATTTATAGTTCCACTAACAGTGTGTAAGAGTTCTTTTTTCTCTGCATCTTCACCAGCATTTGTTATTTTTTATCTTTTTGATAAAAGCCATTCTAACTGGGGTGAGATGGTATCTTATTGTGGTTTTGATTTGCATTTCCCTAATGATTAATAATGTTAAGCATTTTTTCATATACTTGTTGGCCATTTGTATGTCTTTTTCTTTTTTTTTTTGAAAAGTGTCTACTCAGATTCTTTGCCCATTTTATAATTTTTTTTTTTTTTTTTGCTATTGAGTTGTTTGAGTTCCTTGCATATCTTGGATATTACTCACTTGTTGGATGTATAGTTTGGAAATATTTTCTCCCATTATACATGTTGTCTCTTCGCTCTGTTGATTGTGCCCTTGGCTGTGAAGAAGATTTTTAATTTAATAGAGTCCCATTTGTCTATTTTTTTGTTGCCTATGCTTTTGAAGACTTAGCCATAAAAATCTTTGCCTAGACCAAGGTCCTGAAGCATTTTCCCCCATTGTTTCCTTCTAGTAGTTTTATAGTTTGGGGTCTTACATCAAAGTCTTTAATCCATTTTGAGTTGAGTTTTGTGTATGATGAGATATAGGGCTCTAATTTTGTTCTGCATATGGATATCCAGTTTTCCTAGTACTATTTATTGAAGAGACTGTCCATTTTTCAATGTATGTTCTTCGTGGCTTCGTCAAAAATAAGTTGACTATAAAGTGTGGATTTATTCCAGGATTTTCTGCCCTGACACATTGGTCTATACAAGCCAACATCCCTGATGAACATAGATTCAAAAATCTATATCTGCTTTTATGCTAGTACCATGCTGTTTTGATTACTATAGCTTTGTAGTATATTTTGAAGTCAGATAATGTGATGCTTCCAGCTTTGTTCATATTCAGCATTGCTTTGGCTATTCAGAGCCTTTTGTGGTTCCACATGAATTTTATGATTGTTTTTTCTATTTCTATACAGAATGCTATTAGTATTTTGGTAGATATTGCATTGAATCTGTAGATTGCTTTGAGTAGAATGGCCATTTTAACAATATTAGTTCTTCAGTACATAAGCGTAGGCTACCTTTCTATTGGTTTGTGTCCTTTTCAATTTTTTTTATCAGCATTTTATAGTTTTCCTTGTATAGATCTTTCACTTCTTTGATTAAATTTATCCCTAGGTATTTTGTATTTTTTGTAGCTTTTGTAAATGGAATGCTTTCTTGATTTCTTTTTTAGCTAGTTTGTTATTGGTGTATAGAAACACTACTGATTTTTTATATTGACTTTGTATCCTGCAACTTTACTGAATTTTTTTTTTATCAGTTCTAGGACTTTTTTGTGGCATCTTTAGGTTTTTCTATATATAAGATCATGTCATCTGCAAAGAGGGACAGTTTGACTTTCTCTTTTCAAATCTGGATGCTTTTTTTCCCCTTGTCTAAATGCTCTGGCTAGAATTTCCAGTACTATATTAAATAAGAATGGTGGAAATAGGCATTCTTGCCTTGTTCTAGTTTTTGAAGGAAAAGCTTTCAGTTTTTCCCCATTAAGTATGATGTTAGCTGTGGGTTTGTCTATATGGCCTTTATTATATTGTGGTATTTTCCTTCTATACCTAATTTGTTGAGAGTTTTTGTCGTGAAGAAATGTTGAATTTTATCAAACGTCTTTTCTGTATCTACTGAGATGATCACATGGTTTTTGTTCTTCATTCTGTTGGTGTGATGTATCACATTTATTGGTTTTGCATGTGTTGAACCATCCTTGCATCTCTGGGATAAATCCCAGTTGATCAAGCTATATTATAATTTTCATGTGCTGTTGAATTCAGTTTACCAGCATTTTGGGGGGATTTTTGAATCTATGTTCATCAAGGATGTTGGCCTGTATTTTTGTTGTTGTTGTGTCCTTATCTGGTTTTGGTATCATGGCAATGCTGGTCTTGTAAACTAAATTAGGAAAAGTTCCCTCCTCTTTGATTTTTTGGAATAGTTTGAGAAGAATTAATGTTAGTTCTTTAAAAGTTAGGGAGGATTCAGCAGTAAAGCCATTTGGTCCTGAGCTTTTCTTTTTTGGGAGAATTTTTACGACAGATTCAATCTCATTACTCATTATTGGTCTGTTTGGATTTTCTGTTTCTTCTTGGCTCAATTTTGGTAGGTTATATGTGCCCAGGAATTTATCCATTTCCTCTAAGTTTTCCAATTTGTTGTCATAGAATTGTTCATAATAGTCTGCAATGACCCTTTGTATTTTTGTAGTATCAGTTGTAATATTCCCTTTATTGTTTCTCATTTTTACCTCATATTTATTTGGGTTTTCTCTCTTTGGTTCTTAATGAATCTGGTTAACAGTTTGTCAGTTTTGCTTATCTTTTCAAAAACCAACTTTTTAATTTCATCGATCTTTTGAATGTTTTGTTTATATTTTGTTTAGTTCTGCTCTGATCTGTATTATTTATTTCCTTCTACTAATTTGGGGTTGGTTTGTTCTTGCTTCTCTAATTCCTTGAAGTGCATTGTTAGGTTGTTTGTTTCAAATCTTTCTACCTTTTTGACTTAGGCATTGATTGCTATAAACTTTCCTCAGAGTAATACTTTTATTGTATTCCATAGGTGTTTGTTACGTTTTGTTTCTATTTTCATTTGTTTAAAATTTTTAAAAAAATTTCTTTTTAAGTTCCTCATAGGTTCATTGGTTTTTTAGGACTATGTTATTTAATTTTCATGTATTTGTACAATTTCCAAAGTTCCTCTTCTTAGTGATTCCTATTTTTATTCCACTGTGGTCTGAGAAGATACTTGATATGATTTTGAGTTTTAAAAATTTGTTGAGATTTGTTTTGTGGCCTAGCATGTGGTCTACCCTGGAGAATGTTCCATGTGCTGAGGAGAAGAATGTGTATTCTGTGATGAAATGTTCTGTAAATGCCTGTTAGTTCATTTGGTCTGTAGAGCAGTTAAAGTCCAATGTTTCTATGTTGATTTTCCATCTAAATGCTCTGCCAGTGCTTAGAGTGGGATTTTTGAAGTCCCGAACTATTATTGTAATGAGGTCTACCTTGCTTTAGCTCTAATATTTGCTTTATATATTTGGGTGCTCTGGTGTTGGGTGCATATACATTTACAAATGTTATATTCTCTTACTGAATAGATCTCTTTATCATTATGTAATCTATTTTTATGTTTTTGGATTTAAAGTCTATTTTGTCTGTTATAAGCATAGCCACTCCTGCATGCTTTTGGTTTCTACATGTATGTAATATCTTTTTCCATCCCTTTACCTTCAGTCTATGTTTGTCTTTACAGGTGAAGCGAGTGTTTTTCTAGGTAGTATATAGTTCGGTCTTGTTTTTCCTAATCTATTCAGCCAGACTGTATATTTTAATTGAGGAATTTAAACTGTTTATACATTTAAGGTTGTTATGGAAAGGTAAGGACTGATTACTGTCATCTTGTTAATTGTTTTCTGATTGTTCTACATATACTTTGTTCCTTTTTTCCTCCCTTGTTGTTTATCTTTGTGGTTTGGAGGTTTTCTGTAGTGTTAACCTTTGATGCCTTTCTCTTTCTCATCGGTGTATCTGCTCTATCAGTGAATATTATACTTTCATGTGTTTTCATGATGTCATGTCATCCTTTTTCTTCCAGATGTCAGACTCGCTCAGCATTTCTTGTAGGGACATTCTGGTGGTGATGAATTCCCTAAGTTTTTGCTTGTCTGAAAAAGACTATTTCCTTTCATCTCTGAAGGGTAGCTTTGTTGGGTATAGTATTTTTGGCTGGCAAGCTTTCTTTTTTTTTCTTTTCAGCACTTTGAATATATCATCCTATTCTCTCCTGTCCTGTAAGATTTCTGTTGAAAAATCTGTTGTTAGTCTGATGAATATTATCTTATGTGTGACTTGATGCTTTTCTCTTGCTGGTTTTAGAATTTTTTCTTTGTCTTGAATTCTGACAGTTGAAAAGGCCTTGAAGAGGACCTTTGGGATTGAATCTAGTTGGTGATCTTTGAGCTTTCTGTATCTAGATGTCTATTTATCTTTCAAGACTGGAGATGTCTTCAGCTATTATTTCATGATATAAGTTTTCTATATTTTCCCCCATCTCTTCTCCTTCCATAACTCCCAAAATGGTCCTTCTTTAGAGAGCTTTATTTTATCATAAGATGTATGGCAGCCATGTGAAAGGTCCACTGGAGAGATGGGGAGCACAGCAAGGAGTTTTCAATACAGGGAGTTTTAAAATGTAGGTTTTATTCAGATACAGTGAGGACACCGCTCAGGAGACACTTGCTCTCGATAAGTTAGTTTGTTACTACAGTTCCCAGTAGGAGGGAATGCCACCCAAGGCAAGGCCACTGTGTCAGAAATCAGAGGGAGTAAAGGAAAGTTGTGGGCAAAAATCTTTATTATAGTTTCTATGGGAAGGAACAGGTGAGGCAGGATAAGAAGGCTTAGGATTGGCTAGTTTGAATAATTTCAAAGGGCTCTAGGGCATAGTAGCTGTCCCCAGTTGTATGGTACTTGGCCCTGGGTGATGATGGCAGTGGATAGTGGCCCAGAGTGTCAGAGCCCAATAAAGGAAGCTGGGAGGAGGGCTCTCGGTTGGTTGGTATATTATATTCCATTCAGGGTGCCATACACAATGCCATAAACAGGGCGACTTAAACAACAGAAATTTGTTTTCTCATAGTTCTGGAAGCTGGAAGTCCATGATCAAGGTGCAAACTAGTTTGGTTTCTGCTGAGGGCTCTCTCTTCCTGGCTTGCAGACAACTTCCCTCTCACTCACTGTTCCTCATGTGGTTTTTTTTCTGTGTAGCCACAAAGAGAGAGAAAGTTCTTGTGTCTCCTTCTCCTTTTATAAGGACATCAATCCCATCAGATTAGGGCCCTACTCTTATGTCCTCATTTAACCCTAATCACCTCCCAAAGTCCCCATCTCCAAATACAGTGTCATTGGGGGCTAGGGCTTCAATATATGAATTTTAAGGGAACACAATTCAGTCCATAACAGTTGTTTTGTATTTGAAAAGCAAATTTGTGGGCAATTTGTTTACTACCTCTAGGAGTTGCCTAGCTCTGGGAGGGGCAGTCTCTCCAGGGTCAGCAAGGCCCCAGATACCAAAGCATCAGGAAATAGAGAAAATAGAAAAACCATAATTAATACACAGGCCTTAATAAGTGATCAGGGTCAATAAACAGACAATAAACAAGTAGGCATATTTTTTATTTTATTTTATTTTTTTTGAGACAGAGTCTCACTGTGTTGCCCGGGCTAGAGTGCCATGCATCAGTCTAGCTCACAGCAACCTCAAACTCCTGGGCTCAAGCGATCCTACTGCCTGAGTAGCTGGGACTACAGGCATGCGCCACCATGCCCAGCTAATTTTTTCTATATATTTTTAGTTGTCTGATTAATTTCTTTCTATTTTTAGTAGAGATAGGGTCTCGCTCTTGCTCAGGCTGGTTTTGAACTCCTGAGCTCAAACAATCCACCCGCCTCGGCCTCCCAGAGAGCTGGGATTACAGACATGAGCCACCATGCCCGGCCAAGTAGGCATATTTTAAAAATTAACATACATCAAATATTTATTCCTTAGTTAGTGAAGGAACACGTAAGATGTTAAAAGCTGTTTAAATGAGAATTTTACCTATAGATATTTATATTCTTTACCAGAAAAAATCCATTTGCATTGCTGTGAACAGGAATCATTTTCATTGCTATGGAGGAAACATTTGTATTGTTATCAGTTTTCTAGACCTCAACTTCAAAGGCACACTCTATAGAATCCAGTAATCCCAGAGCATCTGCCAGACAGTCCCAAGCATTGCTTTGGAAGGCCACCAAGTGATTGTTTTTGCCCATTTCCAAGTCTTTGACAGTTTTTCTCTTGTGACCATAAATATTCTCCGAAGACTATTCTTGATCATAGAAAGGCTGGTCTTATTATAATTTTCCTGGCTCTTTATATAGTGTGCAGCAAGAGTGTTAATTAAGCATGCAGACCTCCTTGAGTTTGCTTTGGAAATCTAGAGTATGTATTCTCAACGGGTGATATTGCCCCCAAGTGGGTAAAACTGGTTTTTGGGCGACAAAGAAAATTTTACTTTTTTATGTATAAAACACAGATATGTATACAACATGTAGACAGATATATAGTATATCTGTGGTATTAAAATTTCATGGGTGCTGATAAGGAAAAAATGTCTAAAAAGGCTCCTTAAGTACAACAATAATCATAACATTAACAATAAAAATAACGGTTGAGAAACACTGGTCTCAAGCCACACAGAACCGAGCAGCTACTAAGGCCACATGATTAATTTCTGTCCAGGAGTTACCATAAGAAATCTCTGATTGGAGTTTTACCGACCTCTATTATTTGCTATCTCAAAACTAGGAAACCAAGGCTAAGACTGCCTGCACTGAATTTCACCAGACTTACAAATTTGGGTGAATTCCTCTCTTCTTGAGGTCCTCAAATTTGCTAAGGTTTCTGGATGTTGGAAAGTGACCTTCCCCACACCTCAGGTGGCAGGCAGTCCATTTTCCCCGAGGGATTTGCAGGCAGTGGCCCCACGTAGAAAGTCAATCCTCATTCCTTAAGCATGGCTTGTCATGCCTGATTAAATGAGTCATTCTCAAATACAACTCTCAAGGTGGTTGGTCTGGGGGATGCACAGTCCGTCTGTCCAATCCCATCCTAAACCAGGTCACTGTAAATGGTGGCAAGTGGTCTCTATGCCGGAATCAAAACAGAGTGAGAGGCCAGCGTCCTGGTCTCACATGCTCCCTCATGGGGCACAGGACAGGGCCACTCTGCCTTCTTGGGCTTTCAAGATGGCCAATGCCCAGTGTTTGGAGGACTCATGTGTTGACCATGTGACACTTGCCTTGCTGAATATTGACTGAAAACAGGGAAGAGAAAATAGATATGGACAGGACGAGTGGGATGAGTGGGGCGGGAGAAGGGAAGCAGGAGGAGTTGAGCATGGAGGAGCTGGGATCTGAGACTTGTGTGGTTGGAGGGTGGTGGTTGCTTTCTCCATGTGGGGTGTGGGGAAGGGGGACAGTGGGAGGGAGAGGAAGTGGACTCATGGTGCTGTGGGCAGGGCAGGGTTCGCCCAAGGCCCCCCCTGCCCCGCCAGGAATCTTCCCACCCGCCATACTTGTTTTCCAGATTTCCACCAAGCGCAAGGTCACCATTTACAACATCCTTCAGGAAATCATCCAGCAGGAGGGGGAGCTGGAGGAGCGGTGTGTCCAGAGGCTGGTGGCCATCGCCTCCAAGGAGATGAGGGAGACCCCAGAGGTAGGAGGGCCCTGGGTTCCATCGATGCCTTCCCTCTGCCAGCCCAGGAGCTGGGCCGTTGGTGGCCTGGCCTGGGATGTCCCAGGCCCTGTGCAGCTACCTCACAGGGCAGCATGGGCTGAGCCCAAGGAGCCAGGAGGGCTGGAGAGAGAATGAGGCAGGAGGGTTTTTATGAGGGCCCAGCTGGTAGTGCCACACATCCCTCCCCGCCCCTACAGATGGAGGGCTATGTGAAGGCGGAGGTGGCCAGTGACACCCTGGTGGCTCTGTCCCGAAATCACTTCAGCTTGGTCATGTACGAGTTACAGCACCACCTGAAGCCCCTCAACCTCACGGATGAATTTGTCCTCGTCACCTTGGCCAAGCTGGCCAATGGCAATGGTAGAGCTTGATGATCCTCAGCCAGGTTCCGGCCCCTTTGACCTGCTCCAGGGGCCCTCCTGGTCTCTGCCTCTCCCTGACTCCACTTCCCTCTGCCTTTGTGTTTGCCTCTACCCCTCCCTTTCTGTCTCTCTTTTCTCTCTTTCCCCTCCTCTTTCCCTCTCTCTCCTGTCTCTCTGCTGCCCGCATCGTCCTGTCTTCCATCTGGCCTTCTCTATTTCCTTTCTTCCTCCCTCTCCTTCCACAAGCAGCTCCACTCCCTGGGCCTCGTGTGGGGGTCTGGCCACAGTAATGAGTGAGTCCTGTGTGGCCCCTGGCCTCAGAAGGGACCATAAAGGAGCAAATATGAAAATCAATGTTTGTAGGAGGTGACATGTAAGGGTATGGAGAGCATAGCCAAGTGGCTGTTTGAGCGCAGGATGAGGCCCTAGTGAGGTGGTGGTATTTCAGCTGGGACCTGAAGCGGGAGAGGAAGATGTGTCCCTTGAAGAATGGGATGGTGGAGAACATTCCACATGGAGAGAACATCATGTGCAAAGGCCCGAAGGCAGGAAGGGGCTCGGTTTCTCTGAAGAACTGAGAGGCGGCTGAGGCTGGACTTGGGGAATGAGGGGACATGGGGTAAGGTGAGGCAGAGCACTGGGTGGGGCCTCGTGGCCCTGGTGAAGGATCTGGACTTGCTCGGGAGCAGGAGGGAGCTACTGGAGGATGCTAAGCTGCAGAGCTGCCTGGTGACTGAGGTTCCAGGAAGACCTTTCACGTTTCGTGTGGGTGGAGAAGGGGTGGGAGGTGGGTACATGTACGACAATGGCGACTTGGGCTGGCATGAGGTGGGGGGGGGGCAGAGGCGGGAAGGGGCCGTAGGTGACACCTGCTGGGCGACTGTGAGGGCAGGTGAAGGAGTGGAGGCGTCAAGCATCTGGGCGTGTGGTTGCCCATTTCTGGACAATGGGAAACACTGGAAGAGAGTTTCGGGGCTCCCGTAAAGAATTTTGTATTGTACGTATGGAGCTCAGGTCACTCGTGAGCTGTGCGGGTGGACGGGTGGCGCGGGCAGTGGACTTGTGCGTGCAGAGTTCGGGGGGCAGGTGTGGGCTTGGCCTTCGGTCCGGGTGACCTCAGAGTGTTGTGACGTTCAAAGCCGTTAGCACCCAAGGAGTAGAGGTAGTGAAAGGAGTGAAGGATGCGGCAAGGACCCAGCCTGGAGGAGCCCCGGCACTGAGGGGCTCGGGAGGAATCGTAGGAGAAACAACCAGGAGGGGCAGCGAGGGGTCCCGGACCTCCCAGAGGAGGGTAGTTCAGGCCGGAGGCGCCAGGTGTGTCCAGTTGTGCTGACGGGTCCAGCGAGATGAGCCTGGAGAAGGGGGGTGGGGAGGTTTCAGGGTGTGCTGGGGACTGAGGCTGGAGAGGGGGAGGAAGGGAGGACGGAGTATTAGCCACTGGCTGGGATGGGAAAGAGGAAAAGGGACAACAGGGACAGCAGCCAGAGGGGCCCGTGGGGGCGAGGGACGGCCCAGGCCTGCCTGGGTGCCGGAGACCCAGGAGAGGGGCGCGGATTGACGGTGCTGGAGGGAGGGCCCCAGCCAGGGGAGCCGGTGGAAGCTTTGTTAGTGTTTCATTCTTGCGAATATATATGTTCTGTCACAGAGTCTGAGGAAGGGGTGCTCTCGGCATCAGTGGAGGGGAGGGCCTGCCTCCTGTCGGAGGGGGTCTGTCACTGACTTCTCCTTCTTCCATCTGTCTGCGATTCCTCTTTGTCCTGTATCTCCTCTACCTCCTCGCAGCCCCCTCTCACCTGCTGCCTCCCCGTTTCTCCAGTCACCCAGCAAGGCCTGTGGGACACCTGCAGGAGGCGGCCCATCTGTGGAGGCCCATGTGCACAGCGAGCTGCACCCCCAGCCTCTTCTCTCTGCTCACTTCCTGCACCCCGCTCCCCGCGGCTGTTGGGACCCTCCGTCCCTCTCTCCTTCGGCCTCCTCTTCCCTCTCCGGTCCCTTTCCTCCCCTGCCTCCTCTTTTTCCATCTTTCCCCCTCCCTCACCTGCTTCCAACTTGCTTTTTGGGGGGCTTTACTGTCTCCTGCACTATTTCCTGCAGCCTGGCAGGGCAGAGGGGTTCCCTGGCTCTGGACTGTCAGGGGCTGGGGGCGGTGGGCAGCCGGAATGTCCTCTGTGACTTCTCCCTGTGACCTCTCCCCCAACCCCACAGTGTTTGAGTTCATGCCATACATGGGCATCACCCTGGCTACCATATTCACGATGCTGAGGCTCGCCAACGAAGCCAAGATACGCCAGGTGATCTGTAGTGGTGCGTGTCCCACTTGGGCCTGCAGGTCTGGCCTGATCTGGGTGCTGGAGGGGAACAGCGGGGTAGGGAGCAGGCAGAGGGGTTGTTAAACAAGAGGCACGTTATTCATTTGTTCCCAAATGTTTGCTCAGTCTCTTACTTTATGTGGCTTCTGATTGGGTCTCTGAGGGGAACAGGGGCCTGAGACATAGTGGGTGCTAAGGTCCTGACTTAGCAGGAGGAAGCTGTCACTGTGACTCCGTTTAGCTTGCTGTGTAGCTGAGCGTTTCAGGAGACCAGAGACAGGCGATGGACATTCACGGGAGAGGGAGACCAGGGAAACTGTCTCCATTTCGGCCTTGACTTGGGCAGGTCTTCGATGCTATTTAAATCTGATCGCCTTCCCAGGTTTTGATTACTTAACCTTTTTGTGGGCTAAAAAATCCCAGTGCCTGACAAGGAGCGGGCCAAACGTGCTAGAATCCCCGGGATATGGGTACAGTCATATTCCAGGCCCTGCGCTTAACCCAGTGGCCTCTAAGGGGAGGGGCCCAGACACACCTGTGCGCCCAACTCTCACACCCAGAGGTGCGGGTGGGAGTCGGGGAGCTGTGAGGGGCAGGAGGGCAGAGAGCAAGCTGCCGGCTGTGGAGACGGGGAGCGCCCTCCTGAGCAGGGGGCGAGGACGGTTTTGTTCTGCTTCTGGCCCCTCTGGCTCCACCCGCATCTCGCTGCCGCTGGTAGCCGTGGAGACCTTCTGTGAGACGGTGCGGTTTTACCTGAGGCACTCGGAGGACAGCGTGTACCCAGTGATGACAGAGGAACAGTTTGCCCTGAAGCTGTTCCCAATGTATTGTTACTTCGTGACTGTGTGGCTGAGGCAGCACAACCCGGAGGTGAGACGGCCCTTCCTAGGAGGGCCCCGCATCCCTCAGCCTGCAGGGCCTGCAGATGCTGAGAGGCCACTGGGTCCAGCCTCGTTCCGCGGATCCCAGAAAGCGGTGACCTGATTCATGGCCCAGCTGGGAACTTGGGATGCTGGATGGCACGGACCCGCGAGCCTCACTTCTCGAGGCCGGCCTTGGGAAAGGCCCCTGGGGAGCTGTTGGGTGAGGGAGGATGATAATTCTGAGAGCACCTGTTATGGGCCGGTGCCCTGCCAGCGTTTAACCTACGGGAGCCATTTCCACACCAACCCTGTGATGTAGGACTATTTACAAAGGGTTTCCATCAGGAAATTGTGGCACAGAGAGGTTATATGCCTGCTCAAGGCCACCCACCTGGTAAGTGGGACTCCAACCCGGCAGTCCGGCCACACTGCACTACCTTTGCAGGACGAGGCCTCGAGGTTACTTCTGAGGTCCCTTCCATCACGTGTCCTTGGACTCTGTGGATGGGGCTGAGACCACTGGCCTTGCCGGGGGGTCCTGGGACAATGAGCCAGAGACCCTGCTTCCTGTGGCAGGTGAAGCTGGGGGTCATCAAGTCCCTGAAGCCCATGCTGAAGCTCCTTCTGCCCAATGACGACCTGCGGGAACAGGTCTACGACTACATCCCCCTGCTGCTGGCCGAGTACCAGGGCGGCCTGGAGGCCCTCTTCATCACACAGGCGAGGGCCGCGGCTCAGGGGTTCCGGGGTTCCCAGTGTCCAGGGCGGGTGTCATCTGGGTGGAAGGTGGGGATGTCAGATATTTTGGCATCGTGTCAACACACCCAGCATCTGTGCCCTGCGAGGCGCCGTGGGGCCTAGCACCTGTAGGGTTTATGGGCAACCAGCACTGTCATTCCAGGTGGCAGGGACCAGATTCTGAAAAGCCCTGGAGGCCACAGTGAGGTCGTGGCCTTTGTGTTCTTCTGTTAGGGTTGCTATAACAAAGCACCACGTGTGGGAAGCTCAAGACAACAGACTTACCCTCTCATGGCTCTAGAGGCCAGAGGTCCTCAGGCAGGGTGTCAGCTCCTTCTGAAGGCTCTAAGGAAAGTGTCCTTGCCTCTCCCAGCTTCTAGAGGCCCCCGGTGTTGCTGTGATAGTGGCAACATCACTCCAATCTTGTCCCCCATTGTCACATGGCCTCCTCCTCTCTGTCTCTCTGTGTCCTCTTTTCTTACAAAGACACCCACCCTACATCCAGCATGACTTCACCTCGAGATCCTTAACTAATTACATCCGCAAAGACTTTATTTCCCAACAAGGTCACATTCTCAGGTTCCAGGTGGACATGGACTTTGGGAGGACACCAGTCAACTCTTGACAGCCTTTGATCCGTGCATGCTGGGGCTGATGTACTTTCTAACGGGGTCACTTGTCTGCAAATGGGGCGTGGTCCTCAGCTATAAAAGCAAGGAGAGGAGATGAATGTAACTGATTTAGGAGTCATCTGTAGATCATTCTGGATAAAGAAATGGATTTATCTCCAGGCGAATAATAGGGAAAGGTGAAGAAGGCCTTGAATGCCACACACGCTCATGACCTAGCACAGCACTGGGCCTTACTGTGCATTGCAATCACCTGGGGGCTGGGTGCATGCAGGCTTGGATTCAGTAGGTCTGGGCTACGGTCAAAGGGCACACTAAGTAGCAAGGATCTAGAGTTTGACCTTGGGTTGGTAGAAGGTCACCTGCCACCATTTGCCCATCCCTTGCAGGTCTTGAGGCAGATCCTGGAAATGTCAGTCACCACCAACACCCCTGTACCCCAAATGCAGCTACATACCATTTTCACGGAACTGCACGTGCAGGTGAGGCCAGCAAGCTCAGCTGGGCGTGGGCATTCTCAGGGTGGATCAGCATGGAGTGCAAGTGGGCTGCAGGAGGTGGCCTGGTCCCCAACTCAACTCACTCCCGTACCTCTGTGTCCCGCTGGAGAGCAAGGCTGTGGTTCCCACGCAGCCCTGGGCATGGTGAGGCTGGGCTGCCCCTGTACCCATGCCCTGTGGTCTCTCCCACCTCCCTGCACGCCCCTCCCCAGGTGTGCACCAAGGTCCCGAGCCAGCATCAGTACAGCAACCAGAATCTGGCGGAGATCGTGCGCTGCTTCGTAGCCCTCGGTGAGGCTCCTCCCAGGGGCGATCCCTGCCTCCCCCAGGTCTGCGGGGAGCCCCTGTCCTTCTGAGGGCAGGGCCTGCTGTGGGCCCAGTGGGCATGACCAAAGCCGTCCTTCCACCCTGCAGCTCGCTCCTACCCCAGGGAGCTGATGAAGTTCTTCTTTAGCCAGATGGAGATGAGCAAGGAGGCCATCCGCGTGGGGACTCTGGCCCTGATTAGGGCCGTGGTGAGTGCAGATGGTGAGCAAGGCGGGCAGGCGGTGGGGCTTGGGGGGCTGGTTTCACCCATGTCTGGGCATCTGCTACTTCCCCTTTTATAGACACTCTTGGGTGGGCCAGGGGAGCCAAGGTTCTTGGTTGCTCCACATTTCCTAACCTTGGACTTAATCGGCACAGTGGCCCATCCTCCCCACCCCAGCCCTCTGAGTCTGAATTTCAAACTATTAACCTGAATCCTACTACTGACCTCCACAGCTAAATCAAAGGCTGGCTATAAGGGCTAAATATATCATGTAGGCATAACCCTAAAGCCCTATGGATTCAATGCCCAACTTTAGTCTAAACCCCTGATTCTAATAACGAAGCCCAAACTCTAATCCTAGACTTCGTATCAAAAGGGAACCACTGTCCCTAACCACGGCACTAACCCATACTGTACCTTTGTGTGAATTCGAACTACGTGCCCCCTGTTGGCAGCATGCAGCTCTGCAGGTACAGAATGGTTGGAAGAGGGGGCAGCTTCCACTCAGCCCTAAAGCCAGGTGCCTTTATGCAGTGCACAATCTGGACAATTGTATATAAAGGACCTTCCACTGACATTAAGCCTCTCTTTGAAAGAAATGCAAATTTAAGTAAATTCAATTTTTAAAAATTATCTGATGAACATAGATGATAAAGATAATGGCTACAGTTGACCTGGGCATTTTTCTGTAAAAGGACAGATAGTAACAATATTTTTGGCTTTGCAAGCCATATAGTCTCTATGACAATTACTCAACCCTGCTATTGTTGAGAAACACAGCTGTAGACTGCTGAGCATGGCTGTGTTCTAGGAAAACTTTATTTGCAAAAGCAGGCTTTGGGCCGGATTTAGCCTGCAGGCTACACTTTGCTCGTCTCTAGTCCACGGTAACAAGAAATCAACCTTTTATACTTCATTGACAGAGATGTAAATTGTTAAATGATTCTGGGTGCTCAGCTGTATAGGGACCAGTTTTGGGCTCTACAATTGAACTTTTTGTCAACTGTCTGAAGAAAATAATTACCCAAAGGCAATTAATTGGACAAAGATGTTCATTACAACATTGTTCTAAAAGCAAGACATTAGAAAAAAGCCTAAATGTTTTTCTATAGGGAGTTTGTATAATAGAATAAATAATATATCTGCACAATGGAATATTATGTAGCCATTAAACAAGGTGTAATTGGCCAGGTGCAGGGGCTCACACCTATAATCCCAGCACTTTGGGAGGCCAAGGAGGGAGAATTGCTTGAGGCCAGGAGTTTGAGACCAGCCTGGACCACATAGCAAGACTCTGTCTCTACAAAAAATAAGAAAAATTAGGTGGGGGTGGTGGCACATGCCTGCAGTTCCAGCTACTCAGGGTACTGAAGTAGGTGGATCACTTGAGCCCAGGAGCTCGAGGCTGCATTGAGCTATGATCACACTGCTGCACTGTAGCCTGGGTGACGGAGTAAGATTCTGTCTCAAAAACAAACAAACAAAAAGTAATCAACCTACACTTTTTTGTGGAAAAGCTTCCCTCTATATGTTAAGTGTAACAGTACAGTGTGGGGTGGCAGTATTTACAGCATAACCTCAAGTATGCGAAAGAAATGTTTGTGTGTGCATGAGCAGGTTTAGAAGGACACACCTAACCTATTAAGAGTAGTTATTTTTATTTTAATTTTGCAATGAACATATACCATTTTCTATAATCAGAAATAAAGTTTCCATCTTGGAGATAAAAATTCTAAATTGTACCATCTTCCCTTAGTGCCGGATCACCTGCCACCTTAGGAACTCAGTGACTTGACTTAGTAGCACCTATCCTTGAGCACGGTATCAATTTGCATGTCTAACTCTACCTCCAAACTTACTGGACCTTTCCAGAACCTTCTCAGGGCTCTGTCTCACCTCCCTTAACCCTCCTCCTCCTTTAATCGTGTGTACTGCCATCAGTCGCACCATTAGCAAATGCTCAGCCAGCCCTTAGGGAGGCCCAGGCGCTGTGTTAACTCATTCGCTGCTCACAGCAGCTCTGCGAGGGGAGCACTGTTATTACCCACATTTTACAGGTAAGGAAACTGAGGCACCGGGGACTAAGTAATTCACCTGCAGTCACGCAGCTGGGGTGTGGTGGAGCCAGGATTTGAACCCAGGCAGCCTGGTGCCAGGACCCACGCTCTTCGCAGCCATGCTCGCAGCCCCCGCGTGCCCAGAGCAGTGTTCCCAGCTGCAAGGGGCTAAAGGGCTCTTAGGCGGAGACCCTGCCCTCAGGGAGCGTCCACAGCAAAGCAGTGGCCAAGGGGACAGAGGCGGAAAGCAACACTCTACCCTGGGCCAGAGGGGAGGGAGGGGGCCGGGAGAGCCTGGGGCGGGGTGTGTCTAAGGGAGTGCCTCTGAGCTGGACGCAAGGCCATGACAGGACGAGCGAGCTGCTGTCCCCTGGGCCACAGCCCTCCAGGCCGACTTTCCTCTTCCAGAGCCCAGGATGAACATCAGGACCATCTGCATGGCCATCCGGGTGGTCAAGAACACCCTCTCTGACACCCGGTCCAAGGTGAAGGACAGAGACCTGGGGAGGGAGCGCTAGGGTCCCGCTGCCGGGGGAGCACAGGGAAGCCTGGGAGAAGCCACAGCCACACATCCAGCTCTGTGGAGCTGCACTTTGGTGGCCTTTGGTAGAAAATCGTCCTGCCTGGGACTGAGGCTCTGCTAGCCAGCCCCTCCCTCTCGCCACGGATCTGGGGTTTTCAAGCTGTGTCTTGGGCACCGCCTTGGGCAGAGGAGAGCCGCTGGGCTGCTTAGGGGTTTCGTAAGGGCTTTGTTGCATGTGAAAAAGCAGATGAGGGGTACACCACCTTCTCCTCGCAAAAAGGCTGAAAACCACGGTCCCAGACTCCCTCACGGCCACAGCCAGTTCTGGCCACAGGCCAGGGAGGGGAGGTCCGTGGTAGGGAGGTCTGCGCTGGGCTCTGAGGAGCGTGGAGGAAGGAATGGGGGATTGGGTTGGAGTTTCGGCAGAGCTGCCTTCCGCCCCTGCAGCTGCGTCTCACCCACATGGTGTGTCCCCACAGGAGCCCCAGGGAGCCCAGGGTCTCCCCGCCAGGGCTGCTGAGACGGGGCAGCCTACGTTAGAAGGAAGAGAGGGCGCCCGTGTCTCCGCAAGGCTCAGAGGAGGCTCCCGGGAGGGTGTGCTGCAGGGTGGACCCCTGGGTGAGGCTGGGGGTGGTGGACAGAGTGGGCAATAGTTGGGTGGCCCCTGATGCCCCTTCTAGCCCAGAGCACCCACTATTCCCAGCTGTCTCATGTCACAGGACTGGGTGTCACATGCTGAGCCCCCTGCCCTAAAGCCCACCCCAACGGCGGCACGTCCGCTGCCCTGTCCCCTCAGGTGAGGATAGCTATTCTCCGCATCATTGGCCAGTTGGCTCTGTCCGGCTACCAGGAGAGGGTCAAAGGCTGGGGCCTGAAGTACGTGTCCGTGCAGCTGACCATATCCACCTACAAACTGGTGAGTGGCCCCAACATGCAGGCTGCGGAGCAGCGGCCTTTGGAAATGGTTCCCAAAGTGCTGAGGGAAGACAGCCACGCGGAGCACCTGAGTTCGAGGCTGCGCGCCTGTTCCTGGCGTGAGTACACAGACACACGGTGAACCTGCAGGTAAGGACGTGTGCAGCCCCACGGGCAAGAGACACGCGCACAGCTCTGAGCATCCTGGAGCCCCAGCATCTGGGCAGGGAGCTGCCCGCGGGGGAGTGAGACCACACCGGCGACCATGGCAAGCCCCTGCCAGCCCGAGCAGGAACCCCGCGGTCCTGTCTTCCAGACAAACCGCCGGGACAGCTTATGTCAGAGGGACTTGGAGGAGAAGATGGTCCACAAAGTCACCATGGACACCGTGAAGATCTTAACCTCTGCTGTCAGCGGGATGACCAACGTGAGTGGCCCGTCCCACCTGCCACGCTGGGGTGCCGGATCCTGTCTGCAGGCTGCCGCAGGGGAGCCAAGCACTCCGGAATCCCGCACCCTGGCTTCTTCCATTCCAGGGACTGGGGGCCTGGGGTTCTTCCTCTCCCAATTGCCTGGCAGAATTCGACACCCAGTCCCACAGCCAGGTCCTTAATGGGAACTTTCTCTTCATCTCTGTGCCCCGAAGCTTGGGCAGCGCCCAGCACGAGGAGTCTCGATACGTATCGTTGACTTATTGCCTGAGATGTGTCTGTTACTTTTAAAGCCCCTTTAGTTCAGGCAGGTGTGTGTGTGTGTGTGTGTGTGTGTGTGTGTGTGTGTGTAAGGAGTGACATTCACGGTCTACTTCTGTAAACATTCATGGAGTTCCTACCATGTGCACGACGTGAGGGTGTGTGCTAGGAGGGCTCAGTACAACCCCCAGGAGTTCGCAGGCTGTAGGAGAAACAGATCAACTTTTAACTGCAATAAAACGTGACATAGCAGGAAGATGGGAAAAACGCACTGTAAGAGCATCGAGGAGGGAATGACTATCCACTGGTGAGGCCATAGGCTAGCTGCTCCCCATCTTGTGGCGGCTTGGTCTGACTGCAGAAATAACGAGAATAAGAATCACAGCTGCGGCCCATGCAGCACCTACGCCGCACAGGTGTGCAGCCTGCCAATCCCATTTAATCGTCCCAACAGCCCTGTGGGGCAGGTTCTCCTATCCTATTGCCCTGCTGTTGTGGATGAAGAAACTAAGGCCCAGAGGGGCTCATCCACTTGCTCAAGGCCTCACAGCCGGTGAAGAGTAGAGCCAGGTTAAAACGCCCTCTCCCATTCCCCAAGCAGCCTCGCCGGGGAGCCCGGGACCTGGGAGAACCTAGTCCTGGCGGCTGAAACAGGTCAAGCCACTGCGCTTGTTAGCTGGTAGCACAAGAGCCTCACCCTAAACTCCTTAGGGGCGAAGGGGACCCATGATCAGCTGGGGGTGTTGAAGGCTTTTACAGCCCTCTGACCTGATGAGACCCACCTGCGCCGCTGAGGGTACTCTCCTTATGGTCTGTGGCGTCACACCTGCGTGACGCCTTCACAGCCATACCTAGGCTAGTGTTTGACTGAATGCTGGGTGCTCTCCCCTAGCCAAGGTGACACGTAAAACTGACCATCACACCTGGCAGGCCCAGCGGGGCCATCTGCCCATTGTGAACCTACAGAAGACTTGGGACCAGAGGGAGGGCCCTGAGGAAGAGGATGGGGTGGGCGCGGGGTTGGTGTGAGGCCAGCAGGGGTGGGCATTGGGCAAAGTGCATGCCAGGCCTGGTGGGGACTGGCTCTTTTGCCACATCCCGGGGGCGGGGCACGGAGACGGGGGCTGGTGGTGGAGCAGTTCGGGGCTGAGGCTGCCAGGGGTCAGGGGACAGCTCTGAGGAAGTGGGCTGGGCTGACCCTGTGGGTGCAGCCTGACTCTCTCCTTAGATGGCTGGGACGCCCCGGCTAATCCTGGGCGCTCTTTCTCGCCCGCACTCCAGGAGTTCTGGGTGAGGCTCCTGTGCTACATCATGGAGACAGACCACACGGAGGCCTTGACCCCCATCTGTGTCAGCCTCACCAATCTGGCAGAGCGCCAGCTGCACAGCGATGACACCGAGGCCAGCGCGGCGGGCAAGAGCAGGCATGGTGGGCAGCATCCCTGAGCCAGCCAGTGGTGCGGGGCGGTAGATGGGCTCCTCATGTCAGAATGCTTACCCCTCCACTTCCCAAACCCCAATCCCCTTCTGGAAGCATCCGGAGTCCCAGTAGCCAGGTTAAACCTAATGCTTACCCTTGTTGTGTTTTAAGGAGGTGGTAGAATCATGCAAACTCCCCCCTGGTAGCCACTCCTCATGTTCCTGTCCCCCGACACACTGGCCCAGACCCCATCCTGGGGAGCTCCTGGCCCAGCCTCTCCAGGTGTGACCCTTCTGGGCCTCTGCTCTGCGCGGCCTCTCTGAGCCAGCTGGAGGAGCTATAGCTATCCCATCCCAGTCCTTGCAGACCACCCCCACCAGGGTGGACATCGTCAACACCAGGCTCTCAGAGAAGCCACTGTGCCCCATTCCACATTCACTGCAGTCCCCCTCCCCGCTCTGGGGCAGGGCTTCGCAGGGATGGGCGTGGCTGGTGTGGAGGTGATTCAGGAGGCCTTTGGGGTCCGGGACCCGGGACAGCAAAGGGCACAGCCTGCTGTCCCAGTTTGATCTGAACAAGCCAGCTAGGTGACAGCCTGAGGCCTTCCTTGTGCCCTGATCACCCTCACCCCTGGGGCTGAGTCCCCTCCTGGGCCCCTGCACTCAGCTTCTCAGCAGGCCTGGCCTCCCCCCGCTGCCCCCGCTCTGTCCAAGCACTGCCAGTTTGCTTTTCACGGACTCATTAGCTCCCAAAGCCTGCAGAGAGAGACGGGAGGGGTGGGGGCGGGGACTGTCTAACTACTGTTGGCTCCACAGAAGCCAAGGTCCACAGTAGGAGACAGAACATTGTCATGGCATGTCCCGGTGTCCACTACAAAATGGGCCTGGCCAGAAAACAGAACCTTGTAAACCCTTCCCAGGATGACTCAATTATGTTCTTTACAGAAAAGTCCCCTATGCCACCACCTTGTCCGTCCTGGGGGCAATGAGACTGGGCTAGGGAAGCACCTTCCTGGGCAAAGTCCCTTTGGGGCCTGGGGGGACGGGGCATGTCCGTTATAGGCTGCAGCCTCAGCTGGGCGGCACCTCCTTCTTCTTCAGTGGACCTGCCTGCGCCGCAGAAGCTGCTGGCCCGTCTTCTGGTGAGTGGCTGACCCGCACCGTGCCCTGCCTGGCCAGGCCATGCCCTGTGGCACTTCTCCTTTGAGCTCCTAATTCCCGAGCCCCAGGGGTAGGAAGGACCCAGGGTGCAACGAGGGAGCCGGACACTTGACAGGACAACTCTGACAGGACGGAGCAGTCTGCATCCCTGTCATCCCTTTTGGATAGATGTGGCAGGGGCAGTGTGCCCAGAACTGCCAGGGGCCAGCCCGGACCTGCTCCCAGATTGCTCCACCCACAGTGTCCCTGAGACACTGCCAAGCTGGGCTCGCCGACCCCTGGGGGTGGGCTCCTTCCTGCAGCATCCTCTGCAGGGGCTCCCTCTGTCCCTGGACAGCCTCGAGCTCTGTTTAAAAGCCACCCATCTTGTCCAGCTCCTCTCTTTGCAAGTGAGCACAGTGAGCCCCACTGGAGCCCTGGTGCCCTTCAGGTGCTGATGTCATCGCCCTACAAGGGGGAGGGCCGTGGGATAGCCATGCTCAACCTCCTGCGGACCCTGAGCCAGAGCATCGCACCCACCATGGCCGACATGTGGGAGCAGGAGATCCCGCTGCTGGTCCAGTACCTGGAAGGTGAGGTGCCTGGGGAGCCCTCCCCGAGCCAACCCTCTACTTCATGCATGTACTGGGATCCTGATCTCGTGGCTTGAACGACAAGAGCCGAGGCTCAGGGTGGACTCACACAGCCTACTTTGGCTCTGAGAATTGGACAAGCAGCTTGGAAGGTGGCGGAGGAGGGCAATGTGTGGTGGGCTCATCCATGGGGAGCTGTGGATGCCAGGCTAAGGGGGCTGATCCGGAGTGCGGGTGCAGCAGGAAGTAGCAGGCGTGACCCTGCGCACGTTCCTACAGAGCACACCGAGTTCACTTGGAATCAGAAGGCCTGGGAGGACAAGCTGATTCAGGTAAGGGGGACCAGTCTGCATGGAGGAGAAAGACAGGCAGTGGGTGGCAGGGCATTGGGTGGGGTCGGCCTGTGAGGTGTTTAGGAGCCCCTGAAGGACATGCTGTCTGTCAGAGAAGACTTGGGGGCACAAAGTCCGCAGCTGTATCTGTCAGCAGGGGAGAACTTAGAGCCTTCCATGCTGGGCAGCCAGGCGCCCCAGAAAGCAGTGGGGGTGACGCCCTCCTGCCAGCCCCAAGAGCCACAGCCTTTCCCCAGCCCCACAGATCACTAGCAGTCGATCAGGGATCTGTGGACCAAGTGAGCTAGAGATGGGGGAAGGTGAGGCCAGAGAGGATGAGTCCCTGCTCAAGGTCACACAGCACTCCTAGAGCCTTGTCCCCTGCACGGCAATGTCTTCTTTCCCCTAGTTTCTGCGAAACTCCCTCAAGAAGACCCGGGGATCCAGCTGGAGCCTGCGCCTGGGCAAAGAGCTGAACAACCAGATCTCGAGCTTTGACAGCCCCTCTCTGGAGAAGGTTCATCCTCACAGGGCCAGGGCAGTCTGGACAGGGAGACACCAGGGAGGGTGGAGGGCAGAGTGTCCTGCGTGTGTGAGGCCAGCTGGGCCTGTGGCTACTCACAGGGCTCTGGGAGGAGTGGTGGGTGACCTAGACCAGTGGTTTTTAGTTTTTGGTTTAGCTTTGGTTTAGTTTTTTGTCTTATTTATCCTCCAGATTCTGGTTCTTGATCACATGTGTGTTTTTTTTTTTTTTTT